TGTCTATAATTTCACCGAATTATCACTTTGTTTTGCGTTATTTAACTGGAATAAGAAAATAATCAAACTTTATGAATTGCTATCAAAAGCTCGTTGCATAAGTGGTGTTTAACCTAAGGTCACGATAATATACCAAAGGTCTGCGATAATCTTCCCATTTCCATCCAGCAAGATATTGTATAAATCGATGGTATCTAGTAACTTCCTTGTGACCTTGTCGGTGCTCATTACCAGCAACAAAGTTACGGCACTTTTCAAGTAAAATTTCTCACTCATATTTTTTTGCTTGAAAAATGATAGTAAAAAAACATTTCAGTTTGGATCTTTATTTTACTATTTTGCATTCTTACACTGACGCAATAAAGTAACTTTCTCAAAGAAAGATCTTATGATGAAATGAGTAAGATCAGTAAATATAAAAATACAAAGAAGATATGAAACGTCAAATGAAGGTAAAAGAAGTTTCAAGGAAAGTAATATGTAGATATTTTCATTGAATATTTACGATCTATGAAAGGCAATTTTCAACATATTGGTATGAACGATAGTTCTACTGAATCAGAAGTAGTCTGTTTACATAGACTTATCTAGCTGTACCTGCCTTGATAGTTGAAAAACAGAAATCTCTGGAAAAGTGAATCTAATAGAAAATAATAAAGAGGGGAATGAAAAAATGAAGACATGAAGAAAAGAAGAATTTGAAGTAGTAAGACATTTGAAGATATATCGAAAATACACTAAAAAAGAACATGATATTCTTAACAGAATCACTAGTTAAACAAATCATCATAAATCAAGGGTAATGACAGCGAGCGAGATATACGGAGAACTGAAAATCATAGTTAATCTTATTTCAACTTTTTTCAGTTATATATTGGTAACATAAATTGATTTTTTTTTTAAATCTATTGTCATTAGATTGCTGCTAACAAAATTTTATTACTACATCAAATTGAATCCATTGCTTTGATCGAATAATTTATAAATCATTGATCGCCAAGCAGACAGCAATTCATAAGATGCTTATTTTAGAAAAGCTGCAATAACACACATATGTCTAAAGTAAAGACATTTATTGGCCACTTAAAACGAAAACGAGCACGTCAATAATTTTCAAGGTTATCGCCAGGAATAGTGAGCAAGATGGAATGTGTAAAGTTACGCAAATACTAATGCCACCTGAATTAGAAATTGTTGAGGAAATATAGTGGCTGTCGGGCGCGAAAAGATTCCAAATAAGAAGACACCAAACGAGTTTGTTCTTCAAATTTAGCCTCATCATATAAGGTGGTCTTGCATGCAGAAGCTTTAGAAGGGAATATTGCGCTCATTTAATGTATTTCTAAGCATTCACAAGATATACTTCTCAAACCACACATAATAACGTTAACAAAATAAATTCAAATATGTTCATATTGTTCAAAAATATGTAGTCTTAAATATGTACATATTTTTCTGAACCAACCCAAGGATGGTCATCTAAGATATCGCAGCTTTAATTTTAAAACTTAACAGAGTCACATGAAACTCTCTATCTTCATTAAACCACTAAGCAGAAAGTAAGACGAATTACCACTGAAGAGATTAAGATTAATCATGCACAAAGGCATGAATGACAAATACAGTGATACTCAGCGTGCCAACATTTTGTCACTTAATTTGAGTCTTTGTGTCAAAGATAGTCAGTTCTACAAAAGAATTGTGCAGTCTATGCGATTCTAATGTAGATACCATGAACGTATCGTATGATATACACAATTGAAATTTGATAGAACGTAAGATACATGTGGTACATCATTAGTTATACAAGATAAAGTAATTATGCAACTATAGTTGCGACGGAAGCGTGATGAAACATCATTGGATGTTATAAACTCACATAAAGACACAACTCAAACATCTTCTCGATGCTTCCCGGAGCAAAATACTGTTGGACCGGAAATCCCTAAAACTTTCGATTCACTCAAGCATAACATAGATGAAATTTCACGGAATAACAAATCCATAAAACAGTTGGAGTTAGCATAAGGTTACTCGTTGAATGGAGCAGCTTGTGTTAAATCTTCTTTAATGCTACAAACCACAAAATTTTGTGGTAAATCCTAAAAACCCTCGAGGAACACCTTTGCCACGGCGCTAAATATACTTTGATATTTAGTACATAATCCTGTACTAATGTCTACCAACTCCCACACTTTTATGCCCCATTCTGTTGATATCGTTGGTAGGTTGCTTTAACCTACCTTTGATACCAATCATTTCTTTGGCAGCGAAAGCACAACCGGGCTAAAAACGTTGCCAAAATGATGGCAACTAAAATAACTCTTACAGTTTGCCGAAGATAATTTATTTCCAGGAAATCTATAATATCCATGTTTTGAAATTTTGCTGTTGTTACATCAAAGGATTATTTGTGCAATTATATTCTGTATGTATTCTGAAATTATTAGTTTCATGCGATACCCTAGTAAAACAGAATAAGGGTTGAGGTTTTCAAGTTTTTTTTTTTGCAGTTATAGCATATTCTTTATGTCCGTTATGAGTTAACATTTCGTCGTCACTAGACTTACTCAAAATAACCTCGGAAGTATCACTCTCGTATTTCTCTTCGGGTATAATACTGCGCACAAAATATTAGGTCCATTTCAAAATTTATGTCAAGAATCTAAAATGTGATCAAATCTAGATGCAGCAAAATCTGAGCAAGATCAAAGCTTATTTTCGGTAAGCGGTTTTTATGCCATGTGTCTGATATTTCCGAGTACTGTAATAAAATTATTTCTGACAGTGTTAAATTCCATCACATTTTTACTAGTTTCTGGTAACTTGCTAATATATTGGTTTCGTTTTCTGGCGAAGGTACTGCCATATTTCTGACTAATTTCTGCGAATACATCATTTATCATATCTTACCTTTTTGGCAGTATTATATTCTCTTTTAAAAATGTTCCGTCTTCTATTTAGAAACTTTCTGATATCTTTGTGTTCGATTCCTAATTCATTTCTACTGTGCTATTTGTGTTATTCTGCCATCATTTAAAATATTTACATTAGCAATTTTTTATCTATCCTGTTTTTAGTAACATATTATATTGTATTGTTTTGCAAATGTTGTCCATTTATCAATGTCATAAATTTGTGAGAAGATAAAGTGTAGACCATTCCAGTTAATTTTAATACCCTCCCTATAACAGGTACTATAACTTAAAAAAAGTCACACTTGTACACATTCTCAGGATTCTAAAACATTTACAAGTGTTTGATGAATATTTATTATTGCAAGAACTACGGGTTTTAAGAGGTTATGTATTGTACACATTAAATATTTTGCCGAAAAGGTTTGAATTCACTAGTTTTACACTAGTTTTATTTCTATTTAACTAACAAGTTAAGATATTATACTTCAGATATGTTAAAGATAACACAATGATTTTTACAACTTAACCTTCCAAAAAACAACAAAGTTCTCGAAAAACTTATAAAGATAAGAATCGGAAGTAATTTTTTTATTACCACCCCGTATATTTTCGTTGACCCTCTAAAATTATACGGCCGATATTTCCACATATCTAAAGACATTATCGCCCGATCGCCGCTCGCGAGGACAAAAGGCGAAGGTGTCGTTAAACAAGCTCCTCGGACCTAACGCTCTCCCTCCTTGCGCCCCATCAAGACAAATATTTTGGAGCTCGTAAACGTGGACAATAGGACGTCATCAGTCAGTGGCGGTGTCTCTCCGCACCTGCAGCCCCCTGAAGCGTCGCGACGACCTTAAAAACCCCCATTTCTTTTGACAAAATCTACGATAAATTCGGTGATTAAAATTTGTATAATACACAAAAAAAATCGCGGTTGAATTTATCAATTACGAGTAATATCTGGAAAACGTTTCCGTACAGGAAAACAAATGAAATTTTAATCGTAACCGGCTCGAATTGTAAAAGGGAGTTCGTATAATTCTATTGTTGGAAAGGGCGTCGGATGCTGCGATAGCCAAACTGCTGCTACTCTCTATCTGGCGGGCGTAGGGTGAACCAGTTTACAATTTAACCCCTCGAAAGGGCGGACGCGAAGCAAATTACATTTTTCAAAAAGGGCTACGACGAGTCCGACCGTTTCGTGATTTGTTAACTCCCCCGCTACGGCAACGTTGATTTCGCGGCTACATCTCTCTCCCTTTACCGGGGAGGATCCAGTATGTTTCGACGTCCCGCGGGAACCCCCTTTAATTTAACGGTTTATAACTTGGAATTAAATTGAACGGGGTGTCTGGTTGCTCCCAGACACTTTAAAACGTCACACTAAAAAACAACCTAAAAAAAACAAAACAAAAAAAAATCAATGATAAGAATCTCATTTCAAAATCTTTCATCTCATTTCAATCTCATTTCATCCTGTTGTGGTTATAATGATTGCAACAAATTTAAACGAACAAAACGACATCCTGGGGACTCGTTTTTTTTCATACTCTTTCGAAACGACGAATGAGCAACACACAAAAACGACATTTACGCGAGATACGATCGGGGTTTGATTACGGTTTTGTCATTGTTGAAAGCTAACACACAACACACCGAAACGCCGTGTTGTGCTGAAGGCAATTACCGCCGCAGCGCGCAATCAACGGCTGTGGAGATAATCAACGACGGTGCGCGCGTCCACTTCCGAAAAACGGTTGATTCCTGTCATTAGGATCATTACCGTCCCCACGGCACGAAACCGCAAACGAATTAAGATACAGGCAGATAAGTAAAATGACGCCGGTCACCGACACTGCCATTAAAACTATATTACTACATATGTTTGGGGGTGGGAACAAATAACCACTTTTTTCATTGCATTAATTTGATATTTTCAAATTTACACGAATAGATAAAGATATTGACTTTATTTTTTTTTTGTAGTCAGAACTTCTTCTGCTAAAAGTAAACAAAAATTAGTTAAAAACCTTGAATTTGCCTTAAATAACTTTTATTTTTAGGTTATATTACCTGATTTATATGCTTAACAAAAACATAAGATTGAGCTCTTACTTTTCCGGTGTTTAAGTGAATTCAATGTTGAATTAACTAGATGCGGATTTTATTTATTTTGAAAAAAATACCTGATTTTTGACCAGATTTTGATTTTGACATGTTATGACCCAACATCTTGAAGATCGTCAAGACCAATTCATCCTAAAATTTAAGATTCAAAGTGAATTTTCGATTAGGTAAGTTTTTAATATCTCATTAAATAGTAATATTTACACTATTTTCCATGGTTGAAAACTTAATTTATATAAAAGCCTGTTTTGTGTAATTTTCATCGTGTCACACTGATAGTTGCTAAATCGAAATCTATGCTGCCATCTGCAATACGAAAAATGAACTATAAATTGATATAGATTAAAAGGATTCTAGATACCGTATAATATAATCTACATCTTGTATATATGTATAGGATTTATATACGATTTAAAAAAAAATTACCTGAATTTTGACGTTTACACGTTATGACCCAGCGACATCTTGAGGATCGTCAAGATTGCTCAAGATCAATGATCAATGCAACATAAAATGCTAGATAAGCTTTTAATTTTTACTAAATAGTAATATTTATACTATTTTCTATGGTTGAAAACATAATCTATATAAAATCCTGTTTTGTTATTTCTTCAGGTATGGTTTTGGAGTTAGAACTTCCCAGTGAATTTTTTTTTATTTTCAATTCAAAACAGTCACAAGTACAAACTAAAACGAAACCAAAAGAAAGGATGTAAATAAGGAGGTTCTTCTGGGAGCCAGAGCTCCGGTGATTCGTCTTATGGAGGTCTAGGAGGACCCTAGGAATCATGTCTTTGGAAAAATGAAGGATAAAATTTTGTGTGAGAGTTAAGTATAAGTTCACATGACTCTGTAGGGGTATTACCGTTCAACTTTGGTAGGTTGAAACATTACAATTGTATGCATGCCGTGGGAATAAAATTATAAAGCGGACGGTATATGTCGAAAGAGTTCGCAACTTCTTTTTATGCGGCTGGTCCTCATTTTACTACGAGGTATTTCATACCATGGCATTTAAAAAGGATGTGATGGACGTCTCTTCTCCGCATCTGCACAACGGATTATGTTTAATTTCGGTTTTGTGCAAATATGTCGGGGTTAATGCATAGCCCATTCTTAATCTGACTAAGCGCGTGGAGAAACGTCGTGATACGAAAGGAAAACTCTTAAACAAGGGATTTTTCGGAACCGAAGACTGACATTTGGCGTAGTTTATTCCTTTTACCAGACTTGATCTTCTCCAGACTTGTTCCAATGCTTCTTTTAATTCCCTTTCGATTTGATGAAAAAATTCTTCGCCATAAATTTTCACTCTTCTTCATGCTCTCTCGATACCTAGTACCCCGACGTGTCCCGAAACCCAAACCAGGATTACTTCAAAACCAGACTCGTAGACCGTATGCAATAAATTTTGCATCTCTATGATGTAAAGGTGCAATCGAGATTTAAGATCGCACTTCTTTACGCGTTCAAGCACACTTCGGGAGTCAGTAATGATCACCATTTTTGATATTCATTTCTCTAATATAATTGTTAAAGACTTAGTATTTCATAGGCTTCAGCTGCAAATATGGATAGTTGTTCTGGTAGATGAATGGCCTCCTCTATTCTCTGAGTACAAGAGTATATTCCACAAGATACGCTTCTATTTGGGTCGTGGACCATTTTGACCAATGATCCATCAGTAAAAATAAACTGTGCATCGGCCCACGTGTCTTTGATGTATTTATCTATCTCCCTTCCGATAATTCCGAGGCCCACTACACCCAACCATCTTAGGTTCTCTAAGTTTTGAGGTTCAATCTTCATCGTTTAAGTGACACTGAGTTGTTAAATCGAAATCTATGCTGCCATCTACAATACAAAAAAAGAACTATAAATCAGTATGGATTAAAACGATTCTAGATAACTTTAAATTATTAATTTTTAAATAAAATCTATGTCTTTTATATGAATAGGATTTATATAGGACTTTTATATGTATAGGAAAAAATTACCTGAGTTATGACTTATGACACAGCGACATCTTGAGGATCGTCAAGATCAATTCGACCTAAAATTTAACATTCAAAGTGAATTTTCAATTAGGTAAGGTTTTAATATTTCACTAAATAGTAATATTTACACTATTTTTGCTGGTTGAAAACGTAATCTATATAAAAACCTGTTTTGTTTAATCTTCGTTTAAGTGACACTGACAGTTGTTACATCAAAATCTATGCTGCCATCTATAATACAATAAAAGAACTAGAAAGCAATATAGATTACAACGATTCTAGATTACTAAAAGTAATTACTTTTAAAATAACATCTACGTTTTTTATATGTATAGGATTTATATATTTATACTTAGGATTTATATGTATAGGAAAAAATTACCTGAATTTTGACTTTGACACTTTATGACCCAGCGACATCTATGGCGACATCTTGAGGATCGTCAAGATCAATTCGACCTGAAATTTAACATTTAAAGTGAATTTTCAACTAGGTAAGTTTTTAATATTTCACTAAAGTCCATTACTACCATCTTTTAGTTCAATTTATCTTGTAGATAAATCCATCTACTAGCCAATCAGAGCGCGTAAAATAGCCGTCACCGTGGTAATAATCCCTTAGATAGCTTAAGCAGAAGATGGTAGTAACGAGCCTTAGGTCCATTACTACCATCTTTTAGTTAAATTTATTTTATAGATAAACCCATGTACTAGCCAATCATAGCGCGTAAAATAGCCGTAACTGTGGTAATAATCCCTTAGATAGCTTAATTAGAAGATAACGAGTAGTACGGGTAGTAACGAGCCTTAATAGTAATATTTACACTATATGGTTAAAAACATAACCTATATAAAAGCCCGTTTTGTTTAATCTTCATCGCTTAAGTGACACTGACAGTTGTTAAATCAAAATCTATGCTGCCATCTACAATACAAAACAAGAACTATAAATCAATATAGATTAAAACGATTCTAGATAACTTAAAATTATTAATTTTTAAATAAAATCTACATCTTTTATATGTATAGAATTTATATATTTATATTTAAGACTTATATAGGATTTCTATATGTATAAGTATTTACATCTTCTTTTTGCGCCATCTATCAACGAAACATCTAACTTTCAGTTCACAAACCTACCACAATATAAAAAATAAAAAACCTTTATTTTTTCAATAAAAATATATTTACATTAATTTAATTCAATAAAACAACTCACTAAAACTAATGTGATGTGTGTCAAATATCTCTAAAATACTAAAACTTATTCCGATTTATACAATTTCTTTTCAACAGAATCAACAGCATCAAGTAAACTTAATGTGTCATTTAATTTCATACCTTTTCGTCTTAATTCTAAAAATCTCCTCTCCAAGGCTTCTTTATCACGTCCTTTTACCCACCAAACTTTAATACAAACATGTAATAAAGGTAGATAAAGTTCCAATAAATCTGTATCGCTAACACCTTCAAATCGATGCAAAGCTAAATCAGCCCATTTGTCAGCTGTAGGTGTACCGGGGATAGCAACACTACATCCTAAAAGTCTACACAATGTGAATAAAACTGGAGGTGATCTATCTGTGTAAACATTATTCAATAATCGAAATTGGTTCTCTAAAATTGATGCTGCATAGGAGTATTCGTTGCTTAAGATTAATTCTTTACACTTTAAATACTCATTTTCTTGAAGGAAATTTAATAAGGCTCTTGTTTCTCTTAACTTTGGTTCTGTAGCTACAAATCTAAGCATTTGCTCGAAACTACTACTTCTAGTAGTTATTAATTTGTTATCAAAGTTTCCTGTTAATACTTTTTTTGGGAAAACAACAGTTGACATTAATTCGGGGTAATCTTTTTTTATTCCATTGTATAAGTTTAGAAAATCTGTGTAACGGCGTTCTATTGTAGCTGGTTTGCTATCATCTCTTCCAGATATATGTCGAACTTGAATAGTATAAATTACAAATCTTTTATCAACACCTTCCTTTTCGCAAATATAAGCAGATATAACTTCAAATAAAAGAGGGCTTTCTTCTTTTTCTATAAATTAATAAAAGTTTTATGGTAATACTATTAATTAAATTAAACAAAGAGGATAAAATAAAAATAGCTCACCTTCACCAGATTCCAACATTTTTTTTTATTTGTTTAAGGTTATCACAAAATAATATTTAAAAGATAATTAATAATAATTAAACCACAGCCAAATTTACTTAACACATTTCCTTATTCTATTTGGTTCCAACAAAATAACTATTGAACATCTAACTGAAACCTTACGTATCACAATAACATCACTGGGATTTTCTATTTATGTTGTGATACATCGACTTGGTTTGGGGAAATTTCTTTTTATCTCTAGAAAATGTCACACGCACTGTAGCTTTCAAGGATAAATAATAAACACAATAACATAAACCATTGTTTGCGCATATTTAAACAATCGGGTGACTAATTATTATTAGGATTTATTGGAAGTTAGTTAATTATCGAAACGTGTTGCGATTTCAAAAAACTGTTTAGTTATGAATAAAATATGATACATAAATTTGTATATAAAAAATTATCTAGTTTTTAATAAAAGCAAAAAGCCATAAAAAAGATTATTTATTGAAAATAAATACGTGTGTTTTGGGTTATCTATATTTAAAAAACTATGTTTTATATGTTTTAGTTACCCACAAAGAAATTTACAACTGACTTTTTTTTATAATGGAAAAGATAAAGATAAGATTGTTTACTTGTCCAAAAATACTCGAATTTTTAGATAACATTGCAGAACAACGAGTAGCTGGAGTGGCAATCTCTGGCGCGATTAGCACAACGTCAACTCTAGCAATAGATGTGCTTGCTCTATCTCTTTTGCATATAGAGAAAGTGGATAGAACTACCAAATGCTCAAAACTGCTCCGACATGTTGTACCAATTTGCTGCGGAAGACACTATAAGCACTGATATTGTGCTATCAATGCTTATCAGTGATTAATGTTCGATATCAGATAGTACTACCTAAATGGCAGTCCTGGATCGAAAGCGAACATTCTGTGGTTTAGGCAGATATTTGCATGTTCACAGATGGGTCAAAAACGCGGGAAGAGGTTGGGGCAAGAGTATACCGCCAGACACTTCAGCCAGACTTCTGCCAGACTCACGGATTAAGCAAACTTACAGCCAGGAATACAGGAATACTGTACTGTATTCCAGGCGGAAGTATTTGCTAATGAGTTAATGACGTGGGTGTTAAAATCCTTCTTGAGGGAGAGGTGAAGAAAATGAAAGTATGATTTTACTCAGACAGTCAAGCCGCTCACCACGCTCTGTGTAGCGAACTGCGGGGGTTTGCTTAAATTTTATGAATTGATCTTTGTCTTTGATTTTCAAAATTTTGCTCCATTATTTTAAAAAAGGTTCTCTGTATGATTTCTGTCCTACTTCAGTTTAGTGCGGAACGTTTTCGACTGTCTGAGTTGTTCGGCCAATGGAAACGATTGGTTAGGTTAAGAGCGCTCGGAACGAAAGGGTTTAAAATCTCAGACGGAAATAAGAACTGGAGTTCCTTGGAGTTATAACTTTTTGGTGAGAAGAACTGGAGAGTCAGATCTAGATCAATTGGGAGAGTTCCAGTTGATGAGAGAAACAAAGAAGAGTTCGAGTTGGAGAAGAGAATTGAGTCGATCATGAGTTGGAGTGGATTCCAGTGGAAAGGTTCAGACAAGAAGAGCCCAAACCAGAAAGGGAGAAGTAGGGTCGTTGGTCGAGAGAACTGTGTGCTGAAGAGAGACGTCGCCTACTGTGGACCAGTTCTACGGCCTACTGTCAAACCCGGGAATATTTTAGGACTTGTTCGTAGCAGCATTAAAATTCTAATGGGTGTCTTTACTGGGCACTGCAGATTAAACACACCCCAACTGTTGGGCCTTGCCATCGATGTTGAATGCCGACTATGTGCGGAGGACGAGGAGACTATTGAGCATGTTTTATTTCACTGTTAATCGTATCAGAATCTCGATTTTTGGGTAGCAGCTTATCTCCGCAAAGGATCTGAATGACTTTTCACCGAGCAAGGTATTAATGTTCGTTAAGAGCATTGGACTGCACGAAATAAGAAAAGGTTTATTAATTAAAATAAACGCGGTATGTATAGGGTTATCTATATTCACATGCAGAACTCGAATTAATGATGATAAAATCATTAATGCCTCCAAATGGCTTGAAAAGAAGAAACATTTTCAAGAACAAGCAGTACTACTCCAACAAGGCTCCATACAACGCCTGTTTAAAGAAAGTTTTTTTTTCAAATTATGTAATCATCAAAAAAACTTAAAAACTAGAGGAAAGATGAAAATCTGCTCTTCTAATTAAAAAACTAATTAAACGGTGTTTTAACAACACTTATACATAAGAAAGACACGTTATTGGTTGCAACTCATCAGGAGTTGCAATCGGGGTACGATAATCGAGGAATTCCATTGTTCAATAAAGAAATATCTATCTTTATTCTAAAAGTCGTGGATGGCTATTTGATATTTACAGCTCTCTGATTGATTTTGATTTATATTGCGGTTAATTTACTTATATGGTTTTGAACAGTTGAGATCAGTTTGGCATAAGTGACTGATCGACTTCCATGACATTGAGTGGATTTGGATTTACGCTGGTAGATTATCTTTTCTGTACCAGTCTTTTGAGTTCTCGATCACTTCATTTAGAAGTGTGTTTGTAACGGAAACCTTACTTCAATTGTGTCTAGTTTTTACGTAACAGAATGAAGATAACAAACACAAACTCCATCATCAAGCTAAACCAAGATAAAATTATGAAGAAATAATATTACCTCATTTCAGCCTCTGGTTCTTATGATTCAGGATAAGAATAAAATGTTTTTATAATAGACGTCGTTAATCATAATATAAGAAATGGGTATCTTTTTCAAAATCACAGCGATGACTTCAATTTTGACACTTCAGCTTTAGTTTTGTGTTTTTGATTTTTTGAAGTAATTTTTTTATCTTATCATCTATCTTCTTTTCTGTAAATGCGTCTGTTCTAGATTCAGTTTCTTCTGAAAAATCTTCAGCTTAGGTGTGAATTTATTGCAGTTACTGCAAGTACTAAACTAGTTATATATACCCCAATTTTAACATGAATTTAGACAGTACTCACAACCTCGAAAGAAAAACGATCTGCTAACTTTTAAATCCGAATTACTGCTTTGTAGACGTAAGAGATTTGGTTCAAAATAATTCTCATGTGACAACATGTGATGCACCATAGACAAAGATGCGAAAGGGATTTTAACCGCTCGTCCTAAAACAGGTAAAGCCATTTTCGCATCTTTGTCTATAGTGCATGATATGTGAAGAAGATAGTATATATCATACATTTTCTTAATGCGCACCATCATGCGCATGTTGGTTATGTGAACCTTTCGCATTTTTCTCTGTATGGGATATTTAAGTCAGAAATAAAAAAAATCATCCTTGCAATTAGTTTTCTGTGCAAATAATTTTGATGGGTTTGTCTTGTTTTATCCTTAACACATAAAAACCTCGACTTAAATCTAATGCTTGTATATTAGGTTGTCTACTTTACAGTAAAATATTTTTCAATTACAAATAATTTAATACAAATAATAATAATTTAAGTCACATTTTAATAACACACAGGAATTACATGCATAATGGTGCTTACGTACAGTTACAATAAATATAAAAATCAACACGTAAAAAATCTAACAAAATTATTTATCTCTTGGTTCCTCTTCATCATCAGCTGAATAAGTTACACTTATCATTTTTTGGAGGAATCTGGTTATCGTTTCGCTATATATAGCATAAGACCCAGATGTAGCATTTTTAATAAATAAATAATATACTGGAATGCCTGCAAAAATAATAAAAAAGGATTATAAAAAAAATATTTTTATAAAAATAAATTATTACCTGAAAGAACTATAATAACTCCAATTATTGTATTCCACGGATATGTTGGAATGGGAAAAATAATTAAAAACGCACAACACATTAAAAACGTTACGGGGATGAAAATGTTTACTTTTATTGGTCTTGGCATATCCGGTTCTTTGTATCTCAACCACAACATTCCCGCTATACACGCTGCCACTGAAAACCAAAGGATTTGGCTAAAATAATTTATTAAAATGAAGACGTCGCTAACTAAAAGCATCGCTAAAGATGTTACGCACTAAAAATTAAAAAAAACAATTAAATAAAAATAAATTTTAATTAATTAAAAACCTTACGCTAAATATAAGTGATGGAATAGGAGTTTTCTTTTGAACGTGGAGAAACGAAAAAATATCTGGAAGGTGTCCATCTTGAGCTCCCGTACGGAAAAGATGGCCGGAAGTGAATATTACACCGTTTACACCTCCAAAACAAGAAAGTGCAACGAAAATTGGTATTAACCAGCTTACTTCTGGTATTGTAATGTTACCAAACGACTAAAAATTATGAAATTAAAACAATTTTGAATGTAATAAAAGAATTGAATTTCTTACCACTGCAACCGCTGGAGAACTTAATATCTCTCCTTTTGATAAAACAATAAAATAAGCTATGTTTGCTAAAACGTAAACAATTGTAACCATTGGCATTGCAATCCATATTGCTCTAGGAAGATTTCTAGAATGATAAGAAATCGATTTTTAATTGAAATTTAACAGTGAATAAAGAAAAATCTCTGGAGAAATAAACTGAGATGCGTGGAAAAAAACTGGGTCAATCAAACCTAAAAGCACCGGTACTTTTCCCTTTTTTATTCTTTTCAGCTCAAGCTGTTAGTGATACAGAAGAGCGAGCTAAAGTAGACCGATTTCAATGAAAACACGTTCAGTCTTCTCTCGAATGAATGAAAGAACTCCAACTAAAAGCTGAGTTTCTTTACTCAAGAGATCTTTAATTCATTTTATATGTTAATTCGGACGGATTAAGACTATTTATATATGATTTTATATATTTTCTTTTTAAGTAATCTCTAAGCTTAAGAGATTGTATATTTAAACTTTCTTTATTTCTTATTTTTACTTACGTATAAGGATCTTTTAATTCTCCAGTAACAAAATTAAGGTAATTCCATCCACCAAATGCAAATAATCCGGAATAAAACGCGAGGGCTATAGATGCTGGATTATATTCACCATCCCAAGCGTTTTCGAAATGCTCGACCTTTTCTGTAATCAAATTAGAAACAGAAACGGGGATAAATTAGCGAAATATTTCGTGAATAATCTAGTTATTTCTTATCTGAATATGAAATTAGTGTATACTAGTAAATTCATTTTAAATCAATTATTATAAACTCCTGTTATAAGAAATATCCACTTTTTGTTGAAGTTTAATAAATATCGTTCAAGGTGAATTTTAACTTTGCAAAAAAGGATTCATGTTTTCTATAGTTATAATGGGAAAAAGTTCCAACTTATTATAAATATCATAATGTAACATTGTATAATTTAATTATAAATACAATATAATTTAAACTTATCTATTTTTTTGTGCTTGATATCAAGTTATAAACAAATATTTTGAACTTGAAAACAAAGAAACAGGATATCTGTATTATTCAACAACAATAACAATCACTTCTTTAATATGTATCAACAAACAGCTGTTAAACAATTCATTACATTTAATTTTTTTTGCACATAATTAAAATTAAACTAAATAAAGCATATTCTGTAAAAATAAAATCTTTTATGTGAAAATGAACGTTACAAGACCTTATTAGAAATTACAACAGCATTCAACATCAAGGTCAAGACTAAAAAGTTACTTGTTATCTAAGAAAGTACGTTTAAAACGGTGTAATTGACCTCAAAAGAATTCATATTTATTACAAATAATCTAAAACTCATTCAATTTGTCCATCGTGTAACACTTGTTTTTTAGCCACTTTATCTCTTTTTGCAACACAGTATATTTGCTTTTGCGTCACAATCGTTGATAACACTTTACTTATAGCGAAATAATTGAAAAATAAAATAATTATAATCACACTTACCCAGCCATATTAGATAATATAGACCAATAAGGATTACTCCGACCAATGCAAGTAGTTTAGCTATGGTGAAAATATCTTGAATCCTCATCGACCAGCGAGAACTAAGACAGTTTATCGCAGTTAGAAGACCTAGTGGACAAGAAGAATAGGGATTAACGGTCAGTTTATGGATCGTTAAAGCTTTTGTGCGCCAGAAAATGGAATGGACATGATGACAATAGAAAATAAATCGATAGGATTAATTTTATAACATATAATTAAATTAATCGATAAATCCGAAGATCTCTTCCGTTTTATTTAGGTCAAAAAAGATAACAACGAAGGTTATAAGAGGTTATCATTTTGCAACAATGGTTTATAAAAAGAAAACAAAATTAAATATAAAAAATTTGCTTAGAAAATATTTAATAATTAATTTTAAAAGATTGAGAATCATGTTCTATGCAAATTAAATTATAATGAGTGGCGTCAACATGTCTGGGTTGTTGCAGTACATTGGCTTATTGCATCAGCTAACATCAGCTGAGTATGAAATGAATCACATGAAATGCGGTAAAAAAGTATAAAGAAAATGTTTTAATTTAATCGTTTTGACATAATTCTTAAAACTAATCAAAAATTGATTTATAAATGATTTATCTTTAAAAAGGAAATTATCGCTAACAAATAATGTAGGGTTCAATAACAAGTTTCTAGTTAAACGTATTAGAAAAATTTATAAAGATAAACATAATTAAAGATATATTTTGAATAATTCTTAAGTAAACGTCAAAACAATCTTATTTATCCTTAAACATAAAATTGACGTCAACACGATGTTGAAAAGAATCGTTAAATAGAGGTCTTTTAGTAGAACTTGTAAGATTATAAATAGCGTAATTTTGGGTCACTGAAATATGAAGAAATCATCATAAAATGGATTAAATACATAATATTATATTTTTAGTTAAATCTGCAATTTGTATTTCTCTGTCAAAAAAAAAGTGTTCGATTTCGCGAAATTTACCAACGTGTGAAATATAAGTTATAATTTTGTGTTCCATAAAGTGACTTGTATGTTGTCAAAAAATTTTAACGCATCAACATGACGATTGAGTAAATACTTAAAAATCTTGTGTCGGTGTGGCCACATAATGGAATGTCAAAAAGTTGCAGATATTGCAGAACAAAGAAAAAGGCCAAATCTAACGCAAAAAATGCGCCAAAATGTTATTATTTATTAGAGGCAAGGATAAATGGTAAACTGAAACATGATTCGATAAAAAATGCATAAGTCGAATTTGGCATCAAGGATAACAATCCTGGAAAAGTTAGCAGGAAGCGAAAAATATGTAGAAAAGATAAACTATTATATCTGGATTGATTAAGCCTCACTCCTACACAGTAAAACCAATCGTTACAGATCGCAACAAATATAACAATTGAAACACTGCTTGGCAATGCTTGATTCTGATAGAATCGCTGCTAGTGCACCTATTTTTAAGGATATGACAAACTTCATTTATGTTGATGACAAATGGTGGATCACGATGAGACAGAACCTTATCAAACATGAGAAAATAAGAGATTCATTACAAAAGCTATGTTTCTGGCTGCTGTTCTTTGTTCACGATATAAATGAATTCGGCCATTTATAAAACATGAACCAGTCAAACATAGACGTACAAATTGGTCAGCTGGGATTCTGGAGACGAAGGTCATTGAATCTGTGACCAAGAGTGAATACAGAAATATGATTGTGAATAAACTTTAAAAATCTATTTTTATTCCACAGGACAAAACTAAACCGCACTTTGATAAGAACGATAAGAACTTGTTGTTAGTGCGTTAAATTTAGCAAATATTCCAATAAACGTAATGTCTCAACCTCCTAACAAGTCCTGATACTTATTTATTTATTTATACATGGAGGTAGCGACAGGACAAGTCCCATTAGAAGCTATCTAACAAGTATACTATACATATGTAACTTAACAAAAGGTACTACGTGACGACGGTATGTACAAAAACAAAATTAATCCTATCTGGCTACAAAACTGAGTATGGCGCTTCGAATAACACGTCTAAAAATGTTTAAAATTGTTTGCCAACTATGTCCAATCTAAGGCGATCTACTGCGCTTTGCATCCGTACGATTGGAGAATTTTTATAAGAACTGGTTAGAGTTGTTGGTGCGTAAAATAAGAAATCATATCGTAACTGACGAAGAGAAACATGCAAGTTCATTCTTGACAGAAGATGTGGGGAGTCGCATTAACCAACCTCAACAGGAAGCGAACATCGTGGGCATATGATAAATTTGACAGGCAGATAAATAATCTGTATAAGGATGCCTAAATCGATAGGAATGGTATTTCAGAAACCTAATCTGAACTCTCTCTATTCTATTAACATAAATATCATAGTGAAGATTCCAAACGGTGCTTCCGAAACATAAAATACTATTTACAAAGGCATTATACATAGAAATTATGAGCAATACGTTAGTAAAGGACTCGGACGAAAGCATTACGAATCCCAGCATCCTATTAGCTCTAGTCAACTTTATCAAAGTGTTGATCAAAAAGTGAAAAATGCAATTACAGAGGAATTTTCTGTTGACGACGAAGGAGAACTGGTTGTGTCAGAAGAAATAGTAGAAGCAGCCAAAATAGAATAAATCGAGTATGGGACAAGTATAAAGAAGAATAGAAAAATTTTATGGACAGGCAAAGAAAATCACAGGCAAGTGTTCCAGTGTTCCGAAGATTTTCTCCTTGCCTATTTTTTGGAAAAATCATAAAAATATTCAGCAACTTCTCTGTAGACATTTTACTCAATATTGAAAAGTATCCTTGTAATTAAAAACGGCATTGATATAGGAGCATATAAAAATCTGCAAGCTTTTTTAAAACAAAAATATAAAAACCATAAACCTAAAAAATCAAATGTTTTGTCAAGACAACAACTTGAAGAATTCATTCAAAACGCACTAGATGAAATGAATTGTAAATATTTTCCTTCTAATTTTTTTAATCATTCAGGTGGCTCTCATCGTAGGAATTGCTGGAGCGTGTCGACGTCAAGAACTTACATTCTTAAAAGTTAACGATGTTGAAAATTTGAATTCAGCAATACTTATTAAATTGAACGAGATTAAAACAGGATCATCAAGAACATTTACAAATATAAACAATGAACTAAATCCTTTGGATTATTTCGAAAATACGTAGCTTCGCGGCTTGCATATACCAAGCACGATAGATTTTTTGTTTGTTCAAGAACGGAAACTGCAGTACTCCACCAGTCGGAAAACACACGTTTGGAGCTTGCGGCGATTTATTTAGGACTTCCAAGTCCTTCATCGTATACTGGCCATTGTTACCGTAGGTTCTCCGCAACACTTTTGGCAAACCATGGAGGCAACATTCTAAATGTCACTTGTATTGTTTTATTGAAGATTCCGTCCACACCAAAATAGAAACCGCTAAGAAGATTCTTGGAAATTGCCAGAATAAGACCTGATGTCATCAACATCTACAGCACCGCTCGTATTGCCAATAAAGGAAGTAGCAGATCCTTCTTTTGCCGCCAACTTCGTTTTCCAACAACAACAAGAAATTGTAACCAGAAATTTGAAACTACCGGAAATTAATGTTAATAATGGTGACAATGTTGAAGTGAATGTTAATTTTTCATTTAAATAGAATTGTTAAAGAATTTGTGAATTTTATTTTGATGTTTTTGTTAAAGAAGATTCTAGCGTTCACAAACTTCCACCATGTTAAAATTACATGGTTATTTTAGCGGTTAGTATTAGTAGTATGAATATTTTCTAATCTGTAATATTAGAAATATTTTTGATATCGAATGAATTTGACCTTACTAAAGATATAAAAATCATGTTTAAGAAGCACGTATCAGATTAGTCCTAATAGTATCTTGTTTGAGAAATATTTTCAAAATACAAATTTCGATAAGTTTGCCTGGATTCAAGTATCCATTTAATTTCGTCTGAATTTACTTCTGCAAAAGAAGAGAATGTTGTCGAGTTATCTTGTTATAACAATTTAAAAACAATGTTTGGCAGGATGGAGTTGTTTTAAGTGATAAGGCTCAGATGTTAGTTCTATTTTCGACGTCGTATTTATGCGAAGCTGGGTTTTCGGCAGTTGTTGTAATAAAAAGTATAGAGCAAAAATCAACATGGAGAAAGAAATAAGAGTGGCCGTGTTAATTTGACATCCACGATTTGAGAAAATGTGCAGTGAATTGCACGCCCTCTCGATCTATCGCAGTAATCTTAATTAATCTTGCACTGTTTATTTTTTCAGCAAAAAAATCACACTGAAGATATTACTAAAAATGAGGTACTATAGGTCATAACAGTTCCTCTTGTGAGTGGTATAAACCAAAATAAAACGATAGCAACAATACAACAATGTATTGTTATCATATGAGGCACAGGGCATTTATAGTTCTACAGTATACGGATATTTTTAAGGAAATGCCATATACAGATGTAACGAAAGTATGGAATATAGCTAGTATACAGGCCATTTGTGATTTAAATGAAAAATTATCAAATAAAAGTTGTCTGGTTAATTATGCCGCATATTCTGGCTATATTTGTTTGTTTGTATTGTTCTTAGTTTCGTTGCTATGGTAACCAACATTGTTATCTTAAATGGATAGCGCTTATCAAAATGGAACCAAGCGCCAAATTTAAGTTTTGAGATAATTGCTAATAAAGATTTAGTAATATGGAAAAAAATTTGCAGTTTGAATCTAGTGGTGGTTTCAATAAACTTATTCTTATTTTCATTCTATTCTGATAAAAATGAAACCAAAGGAATGCTCTTTATGTCGGCAAGTTTTTTGTCAAAAATTTTTTTCCCTTCAAGATACAAAACACTCAAGTTTGCCCAGGGATCACTCGTGGAAGGCCATCCTCGTGCCCTCTTAGTGATATCAATTTCGCGATAATTATCACCTTGATGGGAATCCTTCAGAAAGATTTTATATGGTTGGGATTTTTCAAAAGTAACTTCAACAGCCTTTTCGCCTGTTGAAGTTACTTTCCTGTTGGTAATGAATTTTTCGATATCCTGTACACTTACAAAATGATGTGTCTCTATTTTGGAATTTTA